AGAGAGTTTTGGAAAATGTTTTCCTTAAGTTTTGAAGGGAAGTCATTTTCCTTACATTTGAGGAAAATGAGTTGATTTGAAAAACATTTTCCAAAATATTTAATCCAACCAAACATGAGAAAATTGGAAAACATTTTCCGAAAAATGTTTTCCTTCATACTAAACACACCCTAAACCAGCATTTATTTTCTAAATGCAAAATCCAAATGTATATCAGTAGTGACCTGTATATTAAGAAGGACAAGAGAAAAGATTCAAAATTGTAACCATGAGATACTGGTCATACCTTGCCAATCTCACTGAGTCTGAAACATCCATGCCACCTTTCATCAAGTCTCCGTTAAAGATATATCTTGCCTGCTTAACATCAATTCAGAAAATGTGGCTTCCACAGTGGACACTGGACATATCGAACACCAGTTGAGGGAGAAAAGAATAAGTTGCTACACCGCAAAGAAAGAGCCTCCTTAATGACATGGAAAAAAAATTGGATGTATGCAAAGGGTAGTACCGAAAAGTAAAGAACCAACAAAAAGATATGCAAAAAGGCCACCCACTCTTCTATACAACAAGGAACTACATGAGTGCACCAAAAGCAGATCAGGAATAGAGAATACTACTCAACTGAGTAAACTCACCTCTACCCCTTCAAAGATCTCCTATTTCTTCCTCTCCAAACAACTCACATTAACGTGAATGAAGCGACATTCCATACCCTGCGTTTTCTCCTCCTTTTTGGCATCTTCCAAAGCTTAAAGAAGACACTTCTTCCTACAAGGTTTAAAGTTCCTTAACGTAGAACATCCACCCCTCCCCCCACAGTTAACACTGTCCAGACAGAAACGTAAGAAACCATAACTGCAGAAGGACCCCCATTTGATCCATGACTTGATTTTGGATACATCACTCAAAAACTATTTTCCTGTTTTTATTTATTTTTGTCTTTTTATAAAACTTTTTTTTTATTAAATCAGTTGAGATTTGAAAAACCGCTTATGAAACTCAATTATTTGAAAGTAGAGCCAAAATCTAACTTATATTTCTTTGATTAATGAGGATGAGTCTAGCTTTTTACTATAGTTACTATCTCATATTAGTAATGGAATTTGAACTTTCCCTAAAAGAGTAGTTAAACTTCTAATTTTAATTAATAGGAGAGTAAGTGGTATATTGATCCATAGGTCCATGTCTTTCTACGGGTCGTAGACACCAACCGTAGAACCCAAACTCAATCCAAAATTTCACTAAGTCTGGAGCCCTTTCTACGATCACTTACCACGGAGCGTAGAACCTTTCACGAATCGACTTGGTGTTTCATAGGAATTCTTCTAAACTTGACATTTTTCTTTTCACGAGAGCCTTCCTACTGACCGTAAGACCTTGTATGTAGATGGGCTCATACGAACTGAACTAGTACCAATTTTCTGCAACTTTCGTTTCCAATTCAATTTACCAATTTTCGAAGTGTTAATAGTCATCCTCTGCCCTAAGAAAATATGCATGTTTAGATATCACATGAACATAATCCTTCATTGTTGTATAGTGAATCAATATATGAATATCTCTAAGAAAATTATATCTTATGTTCTGCTTCGATTTCACATTGTAAAAGTTTTTATGTATCTCCTCAAGTTTTGATATTCATATGAGAATTTCTCGTAATTATGTATTGCAAACTCTCTTTCTTCCCAAATAATAGTTGGCTATCCATGCACAAATGTTAGTTCTTCAATGGGAGTTAGAATTGTTGGGGTAACAATAGTTTCTTGTTTTAGAGTGGTAACATGAATTCTTTTGGGTGTAAATGTTATTGGATGGATCTTGGTTTAGGTTGGAATTTAATTACTTCATGTCAATTACGATAAATCAATCTTATCGTGGCACATAATAAATAAAGTCATTAATTATATTTTCAAATGGCCCCCCAAAAATAAGGGCATAATTGGCCTAATACGTTGATGTAGAAGCCTTTTAGAGCCAAAATGTAAACAACGGATATTTTGGTACCAAATTTGATAGTACAAGAGCATTTTAGGTCCTTCTCCATACTAATAATTCTTAAGGAAGTGAAAAAAGTGCATATATAAATGACACATCAAGTTGGAATTGAGCTATGAATAATATTTGCACAAATTCAAGAGCTAAGAGTATAAAGGAAAAATATATAAACGCATGTTATCTCTTGAGATACATTCTTGATATTAAATTCTTAGTATACATGCATTTGAAAATAAAATCATTGCAATTAGAAAGTAACATTAAGATCTTTCTAATTAGAATTTTAAGCGATATCATTTCTTGTGTCAATCACTGAAAATGTCAGTTCCAAATTCAATCGATTGACATAGAAACCAATTAATTCTTTTCCCTCAAATCCTCTTCTCTTAACTACACGTTCCATCCAATCTTCATATAATCCAAAAACTCCATCTATGTCTTTTTTCAACTTGAAGAGATGGTTAACTTGAGTGTCTTGATCCCAAAGAGGAATCATTACCTCACCTTCTTTCTCTACTATTACAGCGACTATAGGATCTAGATTCTTGAAGAGGTATTTCATATCACTCTCATTAAATCTTATACCTCTAAAATCCTTCGTCAACCATTTCACCAAAGGAAACTCACTTTCAACCTTATTCTTGCCTTTCTTCCAAAACATTTCATATATTTTAGAATTGAAATCTTACACCTTAATAGTTTGAAAGGTATAGCTCCTACTTGTATGTATGATTATGATGTTTGGTGGTATATATAATCCTCTAGTGTATTATTTCGGGTAAATATAATCTATTTAGATAAATAGTTAATCATTACAAAAATTATCCAAATTTTCCATTTTTTTTAAAGATCTATAAAAATATTAAGAAACGATTACCTCTTTTTAGATTGTAGATGAAATCAAATTAACTGATATTTTCTTTATTCTATTTTGAATCAATAACAGTTATTGTTATTTCCTATAAGGAAAATTACGTATTTTACCCTTAGACTTGTCTAGAAAGTCGAGTCAAATTTAAATTTATGGAGATTATTTACCATTTATTCGCGTTCAAAATGTATATTAGTAATGAATATATCACAGTAAATTCTTTGACGTGTCACATGACTAGTAAAATGGAATTCATGATCAACTCTTAGGTAGTTTGTCACACCCCGAGCCTATACTCTGGACGTGGCTGATACTCAATGCATTACTGGCCTGAGCATACCTATAACATGGCATTGGACATGAGCATACATCTAAACATATTAGAAAAATATATTTGAAAGCATTTGAAGAGATAAGTTTCATAAGAAAACAAATTTTATAACGTAAGTCATAGAAATTTAAAATCATTGTCAAATGATACGAAGGTCCAAACGTAACATAACTATTCATCTATTTATGAAGCCTCTAAACATAACTGAATAGTTTCATTTGGGACAAGGTCCCTGTAACACCCCGCATTTTACGTTGCCTTGTGGTATAGTTATGGACTCGGATTCCTATGCGACTAGTGACAATAGAATAGGTTTAAAATGAGATAGTAAAAAGTGGTATTTGATGTAAGGGTAAGGAGGTGATGCACATGCTTGCTTAAAAGTAAAGGACCATATTATTTCTCCAATTTAATAAGTGAAAACGTCCAAAAGGGACCTCTAAAGCACTCAAGCTTATCACATCTCCCTCATCACTTATTCTCCAGAAAATTGTTCCCAAAAGCCATATAAGCTCCAAGAGTTCTGGTCTATAGCTTCACCATTAAAATCTGAAGCAAACCCTTTCTTTTTAAAGTACAAGTTAGTAGAACATATCCCATCTTAAGGAATTCAGGTGAATAAATCTGATTTAACATTAAGTTATGGGGGAGAGGACAACCTAAACCTTGAAGAATCCAAGTCTTAGCAAGTAAGGTTTCTGTCCAGCAAGGTAAGCTATGGAAATTTTCATCCCTCTCTTGTTCTTGCATTGTTTGTGAAAGTTTTTATGAGTTAATGAAATAAAAAGTGTTGTCTCTATATGGTGTGAGCTTGGAGGAAGGATGTGCTGGTTGGGAAAGCCATGGAGTGGAGTCCCCTTAAATTTTGATTGTGAGCTCGTTTTGAGCATCTTAAATGTAATGTTAGTTGGAACTCATGGGATGTTGATCGGAAACCGTATGTTCATATTGCTATTTCCACATTGTGATGCTTAGGGACTGTTTTGTGTATCGTAAAATAAGGGGGTGTGGCTGGATATGTGCAGAGAAGTTATGGGAACTAGTTATAGGATAGAACATTGAAAGTGTAGTGATACACCACTTAATTGAGTGTTGCATGAGCTTACTTCCTACCATCCCTTTGTATATTATTTTCCAAACGTTATAAAGTCCGAGGAGTTTCAGAGGACCATATAAGAAGGTTGTATAATATATGAAAAAAATTAGAAGAGAATGGGTGGGAAGAACACCCTTGACGGGATCAATTATAGATTTACTGCCAATTACTGTTTTGGTCTGATCAAGTAGCCCAAACTTGTTTATTAGATACTAATGCTAGTTTTATTATTTACTCCATTGTAGATAAATAATCTGAAAGGAAGACGGTTAACTCATTGTAATACTCAAAGTTGTGTAGCAAAGGTATGTAAGGCTATTCGATTTCCTATTTCTTTGGCATGAAACCAACACTTGTATTACAAAAAGTAAGCTTTCTAAGTGCCCTTGGTAGTGACTGATCCATAGTTGCAGTTCCTACTCCCTAGAGCATTAAAGTGAGTACTCTAATATGAGTTTATTACTAAATGTGTGTGCTTACTCTACCAAGTATTAGCATGCAAGGTTTTAAATGTGTTTCATCGTCAAAGTACCCTTGACACGTATTCCCCTTATATAAATCAAAGTGATCCTAGATTACACATGGTACATATGTTTATATGTTGGACAATCTGCCCATATTGAGTCAACTTCATTCAATTGTCTATTCCATCATATATGTCATCTTATCACATGTTCATATGTTTCCTTTATTGGTTATTACTCCCATTGTGTTAGATTATTGTGTTACCTCACAAGATCCCTACTTGCTCTATTGTACATTTTATATGTACTTACTTGGAATATGTATCCGTCCTTAAGTTGAATTTGTCCACGTTCTCCCTTGGTTCCACTTTCATGTGTACTTTGTATTTGATATTAGTTAGTGAGTATTTGGCTACCATATAGAGTTCAAATCTCTTGGATGAATGTTAAATGTATTCACTTGATATGTGTTTCAATTTGAGATGTCAAAATGCTTACTGAGTCAGATAATCTCATAAGTATTACGTTGGTGTCACATTTGCTTCCCATGTCATTGTTATTATCGTAAGTCCACATTCACATGTCTTCTATTAGTGGTTCATAGTTCCAAGTCTCAACAATGATTATGACCACCAAAACAGCAGTCTTAGAAGAGTTATGATCATCAAAAGAATAATCTCAAAAGAGTTATGAACATCAAAACAACAATACTCAAAGATTAAAAAATACTAAGTGAAGCAATTTGTATAATGATGGGTGGCAACCCAGGGGCAAATGCCTAGCATGGGTCGATCCCAATTGGTATGGAAGGGTGGCAGCTCAGGGATGAAAGCCTAGCATGGGCCGATCTCAATTGGTTGAATTATGAGACAGCATCCCAGGGGTTAAATGCCTAGCATGGGTTATCCTCTTCTACCACTGATCAGCTAGTTATTTGTATCATATGTCTTATAAAGATTAGAACGCACAGAAAAGTAAAGAAAAGAATGTTACATACACGATTCCAAAAGTATAAGCAAATATGGTCTCTAATCCTTACCTATTTGTATTTGGTTTCACTTGAGCTCTCATTTTACATATGGTTGTATTATGCCTTACATATTCAGTACATTCTTTCGTACTGACGTCCCTTATTGGGGACGCTGCATTCCATGCTGCAGGTACAAGTACTCAACTAGTAGATCTCCCCCCATAGAAGCACATGATACTTAGCGGTTGTTGGTGAGCTCCAAATTGATTCGGGGCTTTGCCGAGTCTTTACTATGCGGATTTTGATAGTTGTACAATCATGGATTCTAGTAGAGGCTTTGTAGACATTTTAAAACTATCATCTGTATTCATAGTTTTACCTGTCACATGTATTGGTTCAGCTAGTCGACATGTGTTATATATGTAGCTTCTCAGTGGCAAATCTCTATGCATAGTAGTTCACTTTCTCGTCACAAGTCACTTGTAAAACATGTGTTCATATGGTACTTGTCCGCCTAACCTAGGGTGGGGTGTGACAGTCCCGATATACCTTAAAATCAAATATAAATTTCTAAAATATGTAGACTAATCCCTAAAAATCGAGAGGGGCTCACCAATAGCAGAAGATATGGAACCTAGCAAATGGCTTGATCATGTATCTGTGTATCTAAGTCTGCATCAATAAGAAAATGCAGCTCTCCCCACAAAATATTTGTAAGTACATATGAAATTGTACTATATGTAAAATGACGAAATAAAATATAACGTATATAACAGATCAATAGATACAACTAACATAGTCATAATCGTAAATTATGAAAGTTAAGAGATGACATCATTCTGACTACCTTAAGGATATTTCTTTCATTATATTTTAGTTCATTATGAGAGGTTAATAGTGTAACCGACATAAACCATTATGTGAGCGCATGAAGTGTGTTCTCATCTTGTTTAGTTAAGTCATCTCATACTTTGCCGAGTATAAACCATATGTATACATATCATATGGATCGATAATTAGCCCTTAGCAGGGGCATAAAGAGTCTCCCGAACCAACTATACGGTCCTTAACCTACGTCGGTAAATATAGTTTCAATGTTCGTCATTTAAACTTATGCCTTCTCAGTTAACTATTTATCTCCCTTAAGCTCACATGATCATGAAATAGTCTAAAGGCTCCTATTCATAGCATTCAACTACCATACTCCATACCTTCAATTCATATCATCATATCACTTTTGAATTCACGAGCGAGATATATCATATCAAAATAATAAAGCTGGAGAATCATAAGATAGCGTCATAAGGTCTCATATTTGAAAATTTTCACAAAGCATAGTTCTAATGTTCACAACATAAGAATTTTCAAGAACAAAATATTAAGAAATTGTCAAAGAGTTATCAAGAACTCATAAAGAAAAATATTAAAATAGTTCTCAAAATAAGAATTTATTCTTTCAATAAATTTTCATAAATTCATGTAGAAAATTTTAGGAAACTCACGCGAAAAGTATCATCAAGAACTTAAAATACTTTCATAGAGAATTCTTGGGGTTTTATGAAGATTCAAGAATAATTCAAGAATATGGGGTTTCGTCCTAACCCTAATTCATTCATGGAGGATTCTTTGAAACCATGGAAATGTACTTCATTGGGAATAAAAAAGTGTTCCCACACGTGAAGATAGCTTTATATATCTTAGTTGTCATGCTCCGAGACTAACCCCTAGATGCGACTCGATGCTTAGAGACACGAGTCACCCCAAGCTAACCTCATGGCATGGCATGACACTAAGATAACATAATAGAACTGAAAAAAAGAAGATAAATGAAATAAGTCTATTTAAAAAAGAATCTGAAATAGACAATATATGAGTTTACATATGTATAATCTAAACTGACTATCTAAAGCCTCTACTAATATGAGCTAC